GGGTTCCCCCAACTCTTCTGAGGATTTTTCCCAGGCGTCTGGGGCGGATCCGAAGCGGGACTTTGCGCCATCACATGCCCCTGCTTTCTGGAGCTTGTCGGGGCCGGGACGTGCCCAGGCTAAGACCCTGATGAAGCTGCCTCCGGCCCGGCCGCCCCCGGGCATTTGACCCGGGAGAGTCATGGGGAATCGGGCGAAGTTGGCGCCCTCCAGCCGCTCGTCCCGTGCCATGGCCCGGCTATGGCTCTTCCTCTGCGGCTTCGTGGCGCTCCTGTCCGCCGGAGCCAGCTCGGCCGCGCAGCCAGGTAAGGAGCGCTCAGCCACCCCGGCCGGGAGCCAGCGGCCGCTCCCGCTCCTCCTCCCCGGGGCAGGGAGGGGGTCTCGGATGGGGGGACCCTTGACAGGGGACGAGCCCCTCCCACCAACGTGAGGGCCCGAGCAAGGCCCATTGTGTCAGCCCAGCTCTGGAGACGAGCTCCCTGGCGCTGCAGCGCACGGCCCGGGAAGCAGCCACCTCCGTGCGCTCTAGCCGTGCGCTCCGGGCGCGCCTCCAAAAGGTGGGAATCCTGGGCGCTCGCCGGAGCTCCCGCTCCCAGCTCGGGTGGTGGAGGGCCCACGTGCAGCAGCAGGGAGAGCAAAGGACGGGCAGGTGCAGGAAAGGGGCAGGTCACCTGGAGCGTTCCCTCGCTGGGATCCCCTGCGCAGGGCCGGTCGCGGTGGCCACCCTGGCTTTGAGCCACCCCAAAAGTGTGCGCGAGGGACGGGAGGAGACCTGTTTGACCTGCGCCAGCCAACCTAACGGGTCACCCGTGGTCGCCCAACGGGAACCTTTCCCTCAATCAGGGAGCTTTCCTGCTGGCACAAGTCTCCCCCTGTAGGAAGGAGTTTCATAGGTGGAAAAGAGGGGTGCCCCAGCTCTTGGTATCGGGGGGAGCCCTTTCCCGGCCCTTTAAGGAGACCGGCAGCCTGAACATTGCCTCGGAAAGTCACGGCTTTCTCGCGCCTGTCCCATGCATTTCTGTGACATGCAGTCGGCAATAAAAACGATGACAGGTCTAGAAAACATGAGCTATGTGGGAAGACTGAAAGAATTGGGTTTGTTTGGTTTGGAAAAGAGAAGAGGGAGAAGGGACACAGTAACCGTTTTCAGGTCCTTAAAAGGGTGTTCCAAAGAGGAGGGAGAAAAATTGTTCTCCTTGGCCTCTGAGGATAGAACAAGAAGCAATGGGCTTAACCTGCAGCCAGGGAGGTTGAGGTTGGACGTTAGGAAAAACTTCCTGTCAGGGTGGTTCAATAAATTGCCTAGGGAGGTTGTGGAATCTCCGTCTAGCCTGGACTTGATGACTTCTCGCCGTCCCTTCCAGTTCTAGTATTCTGTGGGTCTATATGGCTGCTGTGGTTGAGATCTTGGGGGAATTCTGGGTACCTGAAGTTGACCTGTGTGTTGTAACCTGTATTTGTGCTGTGGCGGCCGATACTGACGTGGTGCTGACCTTATGCATGCCTGATATGCAACTTGCAGACTTGGGGCTATGCTCTGTGCGGTATTCAGGGAGCACTGGGTCCATGTACAGCAGAGGCGGGCAAACTGGACATCAGGGTATGGAAATTGCATGGAGGGTCATGGATGCTCACCAAACTGAAGCTGGGGTGGAGGAGAGAAGTGAGCGGTGAATCAACTCCCCCAGAGCAGCCAGCTTGGGGGCTGAGAGCTGGCAGAACCAGACCTGGCCCCAACATCTGGGCTGGGAGTGGGCAGAGCCAGCCCTAGCACCAGCGTGGGGCTGGGAGTGGGAGCCCCACAGGCTGGCGGGCTGGCGCAGCGAGATCCCACTTAGTTGGTTAACTGGTTAAATGTTTGGTTAACAGATTAACTTGGATTTTACATCCCTAAGGGGCTCAGGGCTGGGGGTTCAGGCTATGGGGTACGGCCAGAAATGAGTAGTTCAAGGTGCAGGAGGGGGTTCCAGGTTGGGAAACGGAGTGCAGTGTGTGTGTGTGTGTGTGTGTGTGTGTGTGTGTGTGTGTCAGGGCTTTGGCTGGGGGTCAATGTTCCCTCTAATCTTTTCCATCCAGGTGTGGATTTTTTCCCATTCATGTGTGGAATAAATTTTGTTGTGTGCACTGAAACATGTGGGAGCTTGCACCACTGGGAGAAACACATACCTAGCAGGGGGCACTCTGCTAATCAGTTGGAAGGCACTGGAATCTCTCCTGAGTGGCTGCACAAGTGCCCAGCATATAAGGAACACTGTTGTGAGGTGCAAGTTTTGGGGTGGGGCTGTGATGAGTGGTTTGGGGTTGGAATCTCTCCTGAGTGGCTGCACAAGTGCCCAGCATATAAGGAACACTGTTGTGAGGTGCAAGTTTTGGGGTGGGGCTGTGATGAGTGGTTTGGGGTGCACCCGGAGGTTCCAGACTGGGGCATGGGTTGGAGCACAGGCAGAGGTAAGGGCTCTAGCTAGGAGTGCAGGCCCTGTGGGACTGGAAATGAGGGGGCTCCAGGCTGCAATCGAGGGGTTCAGGAGGGGGCTCAAGGCTATAGTTTCAGACTGGTTTTACTCTGTGCTGTGGCTCCTGGAAGCAGCGGTATGTCCCCCTTCCAGCTGGTGGCTATGGGGAGGTGCAGCCAGGCTCCTCTCTGCATTCCCCCTGCCTAGCCGCAGGGACTGTCCCTGCAGCTCCTATTGGCTGCAGTTCCCAGCCAATGGGAGCAGTGCTTGGGATGGGGACAGTGCACAGAGCACTCTAGCTGCCCCTACGCGTCGGAGCCAGAGTGGGGGGGCCATACTGCTGTACTTTTGATAACACTTGTCTACGGCCACATTCCAGAATGTGATGCTGCTCCTGGACACAGCAGAACTGTTTGCATGTGTCGCTTTGTTCCATACTGGATTTCACGCCAGCGTACTTATCCACTGCTCTCTCTATTGACTTGCTCACCTCTAATTTACCTCTGCTGGTATATGTTACTGCCGGTCAGGGCATTTATTTCTTGATTGGTGGCCCTAAAAAAACAAAACAAAACAAAACAAAACAAAACAAAACAAAACAAAACAAAAGATAACTGAATGTTCAGAAAGAAACAAAACCATTCATAGAAGTAAATTCTTATCATTCGGCTCCGTTCCCAAATACAGCAGGTTTCACAACCTAGCTCATAAATGTTATGCAGTTATGCAACTTTACAGCTTCTTACCTGAATTTCCTTCTCTGTCATGTGTCCTGCCATTCTTTCAGCTTCTGGTCATGGCATCGGCTATTGGGACCTTTGTACTCTATAGAGTAGAGCTCTTTTCCTTAGTTCAGATTAATTTCTGGCTGCCACATGTAACTGCAGGCAGTCAGTTCGAACTAAGGAGATTTAAAAATGGTGCCCGCCCGGGAACATGCAAATGAAGCCCGGGATATTTAAATCTCGGGCTTCATTTGCAAGTTCGAATGTCGACATTAGCCACCCTAGTTTGAACTAGGGGTCAGGTGTAGACATACTCTTGTCTACTGACAGTGGCCAATGCCAGCTGTCCCAGAGGGAAAGAAAGAGAATCATCAAGTGATCCCTCTCCTGTCATCCATTCCCAGCCTCTGACAAACAGAGGCTAGGGACAAAATTCCTGCCCATCCCAGCTAATAGCCATTGATGGACCTAACTTCCATGAATGTATCTAGCTCTTTTTTGAACTTTGTTAAAGTCCTGGCCTTCACAACATCCTCTAGCAAGGAGTTCCACAGGTTGACGGTGCGCTGCATGAAGAAATACTTCCTTTTGTTTGTTTCCAACCCGCTACCGATGAATTTATTTGAGTGACCCCCAGTTCTTGTGTTACAAGAACAAGCAAAAAACTTTTCCTTGTTCACTGTCTACACACCAGCCATGATTTTATAGACTTTTATCATATCCCCCTTCAATCTTTCCTTTTCTAAGCTGAAAAGTACCAGTCTTATTGTTCTCATATGGCTGCTGTTCCAAACCCCTAATCATTTTTGTGGCCTTTTTCTGAACTTTTTCCAATGAACTTTTTCCATCTCCCACCCAATGGACATGAGTTGGCTGACATCTTGAGTAGGGTGTTTCAGCCTGAGCTGGTCCTGTGTGAGAAACTTCACTCCCTCCTTCATGTCCTTGTGCCCCTACACATAGCCCATGAGAGCAGGAGAGGGCAGTACTGGATTGAATTACGGTAGTGCAGCTCGTCTCCAACTTCCCTCTCTTCCTCACCACAAAAGAATTTTATCACTCGATCACAAAGGGAGACATCTGGACTGGAGCTCTTTTACAAGTCCAACACTATCAACTTAGGCTTGAATAAAGATCGTAACTGGTTAACTCACTACTAAGGCAATTTCTCTACCTTTGACATTCGCATTTCCATATCAAATGCTATGAATGAGAGACATCCAGCCTGATTTAATTAGCTTTATTAATACTGGTCCTACAATTGACAGGTAACTTCCTTTGCTGTTATACAGGGGTGGCCAACACATTTAACAAAGAGAGCTGAAACAGCGACAGAAAAAATGCAAAGAGCCGCACCAGAATTGTCAAGCCAAAAAAAAAAAAAAAAAGAGGCTGCCCCTTTTAGGAGCAAGTAAGCTTAAGCTGGTCATATCAGGCTCTTGTCGATGGCCGCTATCTTGGGCACCATTTTTAATCACCACCGAGGGGGGGGGGGGGCCCAGGGGGGGGGGGGGCGCAGGAGCAGCTTCGCAAGCTGCACTTTTGGGGGGGAAGAGGTTGGCCATATAAGTACCTAAAAGGGTGTTACAAAGAGGAGGGAGACAAATTGTTCTCCTTGGCTTCTGAGGATAGGACAAGAAGCAATGAGCTTAATTTGCAGCAAGGGAGGTTTAGGTTGGACATTAGGAAAAACTTGCTGTCAGGGTGATTAAACACTGCAATAAATTGCCTGGGGAGGTTGTGGAATCTCCATCATTGGAGATATTGAAGAGCAGATTGGACAGACATCTATCGGGGATGGTCTAGATGGTGCTTGGTCCTGCCATGAGGGCAGGGGACTGGCTGTGATGACCTCTCAAGGTCCCTTCCAATTCTGATATTCTTTGAATCTGTGATATACGCTGGGATTCCGTCATTTCCTCTCCAACTCATCTGATGAAGGGGGTTTTGCCCACAATGCCTCATAACCAAATACATTTGTTTGTCTCTAAGGTGGCTGTGAACACGTTACAGACTCGTTAAATTCATGTGGTGAGGGATGGAGGAAGCTTCAGTAACTGGGAAGCACATTTGGGCTCACTTGTCACCAGGGAATTTTTGTGGATTCCTCTTCCATACCCATCTGTT